AGTGGGTAAATTTTTCGTTCTTGAAAATACTTAAATGTGATCACGTTAGTCGTATACCTATACTTTTTTTTTTTTTTTTTTTTTTGTATGATGTAACCAAATACCTGCGATGGAAATTTTCACTTGTTAATTTGTCTCAGTTGTTTCTCGGATTCGGAGGACATTTTTTCTCGTATCATTCTGCTTGGCATATAGAATTATATTGGTAGGAGATCGTAGTCAGAAAGCCTCCATTCTCTCTGTTTTCATACCTACCCACCCTCCCGTTTAAATTTCTTCCATACTTTGTTACTGTTTATAGCTATTCTCATTAGTGAAGCTTTAACCATTTTAACTTTTTTCATTAGTGTGCTGAAAAAAGAATGGTCTTTGTTTCTATGATACTGTATATTCAGAGTTTAAATTCAGCCAGAATCCATTTAAGCTATTTCTTAGTTTTTCAGTGAAATTATAATGCCAGTCGGAGTTATAAATAAAACAAGGTCTAGTATTTTATTTTATTATTTAACTTTTAGCCATTAATTTAATCATTTATTAAATTTTTATTTATCTATTTATATTTTATTAATTTTAATTATTAATTATTTTATTACTTATTTGATTTACTTTCTCCTTGGATAGACTACCATAAGACTTCGCACCTTTAAATTTAGAAATTAAGTCCTGCTTAAGATGTTTCTAATTCTTGAACAAATTTTATTCCATTAGTAGAGTTTAGGTATTGTTTTCTTTAATTTCATATATTTATTTCATGATGACAGCAGTCTAACTGTAACGAACAAATAATTATTTCATCATAATTTTCGGAAAGATTTTAGGCTTAGAAACACAATATAGATGGCAGCACCAGAGTAATACAGTTATTTTTTTCTTTTTCCTGAATCCTATTTTGGAAAGTGAAATCTGACACCTTTTTTTGTTGGGAGCAGCTGGTTCTTGAAAAACTTTTCTGTGAATTATTGCTGTGAATTGCACTTAGGATATTTGTTTAGACTTTTAAACTCTTATTAACATCATATTTACAGTGCAAAGCTGAAAGTTTGGATGCTATTTGTTTAGGTAAGCTGTTTATATTTACCCTTATTTATTTTTAGGACATTATGTTCATTATTTGAATTAAAGTGCGAGGAATAAAAATTACTTCGTGATTTTGTATTAGCACAGTCATCAATGTTGGCATGTAATATTATTATGTTAGAGGAGACATATTAATAGTTGTTTCGGCTATTTGAGTTTATAATATTTTGTTTTATAACATACCTTTATGGATCGAAAGCGCATTTGAAAGTTCATAAAAATCTATACCACTTTTTTATCGTTTAACTACCAGTTTTTTTTAATATCTTTCAATGAATCCTGGAAACATTTACAAAATATTTATTGGAATTTTCAGATTTTACATAATAACGCATTTGCTTCAATCAATGTTTTGACAGAAATGACTTTTAAAGTAATATACATTATCAAAAATATTATTATTATTTAATAATATTAAAGATAGATGCTGTGGGACAATTCCCATTTCTGTTAAATTCTCAGCGTGAGAACCATAGAATTAAAAAATAATAATAATAAAATTCAAAGTTCAAATTATTAACTTAGTTATTATTACTATGTAGTGTAAATGAACTAGATATGCATATTTCTAAATGAGAATATGCCAAATAAGAATTAAAAATAATAATTAATAAAAAAACGCTTATAGTCTGAAGTTTTCTGGTTACAAACGCCCCCCCTTTTCTTTTTTATTTAGAAAAACTAGTTTTCTTTAAAAAGCTTAAAAATACAGTCAACTCTGATGTACGAGTTTGAAGAGATTGATGGAAAAAAATGTATGGATTAAAATTACGTATAAGTGAGAGACGTCTTTTAAACACATTACTACGGCAACCATAGTGAGGCACATACTTATTTAATAATTTTACGAATTAATTTATTAATAATAAATTTAAATATTACATATTAATTTCATAATAAGTTATGTCTAGTCAAATCTAATCAAAATTTTTAACAATTTTATTCTTGCATTTTTTTAAATAGAAATATTATTGACGTTGTATTTTTCGCAATTAAATATATGTACTTTATATTACTTGAAGCCAGATACATCTTTTGATGAAAATTCTCGACAATTCTTAATTTGCTTTTGTTTAGAGTAGGAGGAGAAAACTCTTATTCTTTAAAGCGATGATCTCAAACTCAAATAGCATGCGGGCAAGACGCACGATCTGAAAATAGCAAATCGGAATTTTTCTTTTTCTTTTCTTTTTAACAAAATGAAAAAGTTTATAATTAAAAAAGAATAAAAAGAAAGTCTGAAAGGTTTCAGATTTTAAATTACGTTCAAAAGGTCGTTTTTTTAATATTTTGTCTGTTACCTTTATTTATTAAATATCACTTTCTTCGCACTTAAACCATAAAATTCAGTTCGAGAGCAATATCGAAAAATACTTTTAAATTGAGCATATCTTTAGAAGTTCTGATACAGAGTCTCACGCGTTGGAGATAAAAATGATTTTTCTATACAACGTTGCCATTGCTCGCTTTGAAGTCCTTGAGTTTGTTAATCAAAAATTCATTAAAGTTTTACAAAATATGAAATCGATGATAAAACAAATTCCAAAATTGGGCTTCCAGATGCCCATATTCGCAGTAGGATTACGTTATTCAAAATTTGATCGTTCTAGGTACTGTTGTTTTAACATAATGCGAGAAATATACACACATTTATGCAGATTTTTCATTATTTAATTTTTTCAAATATAATTGTAAAGTATAGCATTGTTCATATACATTCAACAAGTGTAACATTATTTTCCCTTTGCTTTGAGTGGCAGCAGTCGTAAAACGTTATTATTTTGATAGAATAAACTTGTTTGGTTGCGTTTTAAATCTTACAGAGATTATTCAGTAGAAATGAGTTGATGAATGGACAAAATGGTGTACATTTACTGTCGTAACTAACATTTGGTGACTCTATTTCCTGATTAAATATAAGAGGTGAGTCCTTTATCTAAGAAATACTTGATTAAATTTTTGGTTTGGTTTGCAATGGAACATCTTGTTAACAAGCGATCTCCATTACAAACATCGTCTACTAAGACATAAAAGTTTAAAGTCTCTGTTTGCTGATGAAAATATTGTGATGTTAAGATTAAATTAGCTAATTTAGAACGCATTAGTGCTGATTTAATGCTTCTTGATAACGAATTAGAACTTCCCTTAAGTGCAGGCGATAACGGTAAAAGTTATTCTGATGAATTTGAATCTGTAGAAGAATATAAAGTCAAATTTGATGAAGCTATAGTTTGTATCAGTTCTTTTATAGAAAGTAAATCACAACCAAACAGGAATATATTAAGTAATGAGAAATCAAAAATAAAACTTCCCAAGCTTGAACTAATGAAATTTAGCGGTGAAGTTAAAGAATGGTTGTGTTTCTGGAGTCAGTTTAAACGAATTCACGATCATAAAGAAATGGAATTAGAAGACAAAGTCCAATATTTCATACAGTATATGTTGTCAGGTACAAGATCGAAAGAGATTATCGATAGTTGACAGCTGACACCGGCTGACCTAATGGCTGACATGATGTGGAAAGATTTAGAAAATTATACAAAAGCGATTGAAAACCTTAAAGCAAGATTTGGCCGTGAGGAATTGTTAGTGGATAACTATGTTCGTGAACTATTAACTTTAGTTGTTAAAAAAGCTACCAAATCAAGACTTAGTATCACTCAATTATATGATAAACTTGAAGCCCACCTCAGATCATTAGAATCGATTGGGATGACCTCAGACAAATATTCTGCAATGCTCTTCCCGCTTGTGGACTCGTGTGTTCCAGCAGACGTGCTAAGAGTTTGCTTGAGAAACTCAGTAAATGAAGAGAAATCGTATAGTGCAAGACTAAGCCAACTTTTTAATTTTCTAAGAGCTGAGGTCGAAGGGGAAGAAAGAATGACTATAGCAAAGTCAGGTATGAAGCAAAGTGATCCCCATAGAAAAGTTCAAAAGGATAGGGAGGATATTACTACTATACATACTGCAAACAACTTGTTTTCGGTAAAAAAATAAATAAATAAAAATAATGTAATAAATTGTATATTCTGTGAAAAATCTCATCAAAGTAAAGATTGCTACAAAGCACAAAATTTAAGTCATGATCAAAAATTGAAAATTATGAAAGAGAAAACATGTTGCTTTACTTGTTTGAAAACAAACCATCGAGCTCAAAATTGTAAAAGCAAAGTTCTATGCATGTTTCGTGGTAGGAAGCATTAAATTGTTTGTTGTCCAGAATTTAAGCAGAAATCAAAAGTTCCTGTCGAGTGCAATCAAGAAAATTGTGAAATTAGCACTCTTTCTTTAACATGTACTTCAAGAAGAGTTTTGCTTCAAACTTTAGTGGTTGCAATTCAACATGAAGGAAAGAAACTTCATCTTGGAGCTTTGATCGATACTGGATCTGAATATTCCTATGTTTTAAAATCAACAGTAGAATCCTTAGGAATAAGATCAGAAGCTCATAAAAATATAACACACATTGTGTTTGGAGGAAGGACTTCTGATGTGAATCATAAATGTTATAAAATAAATGTTGAGAATCTGCATATTGGTTATAGCTGCAAGATTCCTGTTTTAGATCAAGCTATAATTTGTGAACCTATACCTAGTCTACAGAAAGGATCTTGGATATCAGAATTAACTGGAAAGAGAATTAATATCACAGATGTTGATTGTGTCAACCCGCAGATTGATCTTTTGATAGGCTCAAACTTTGCAGGAAAAATACAGAAATTAAGTACACTGCTCGGATGGGTTTTGATGGATAAATCGCCAACAACTGGAGGTGAAAAGTCTATTGCTGCTGTAGTTACATCCCTCTTAATTCACAATCAAGATATTAGAAACCTTTGGGAATTAGAAGACATTGGCATTACAGATCCTTTGAACTGAAATCTAGAAGTGAAATTGATAAAGTTGTAAACGATCATTTTATGGCAAATTTAAGAGAAGATGAAGAGGCTGACTATTTAAAATGTCTGAAAGGTCAAGAAAAAGAAGTACCAAAAGATGTTAAGAAAGAAATATCCTTTTTGAAGAAGTTTAGGAATGATCCAAACCTGGATGAGAATAAGAAATTTAATAGATTTTATTTTAGATAAAAGTGTATTGCAGTACTAAGTGGTGATGAAGAAGCAAGAATTGTTTGAGCGTAAGTATAATTTCCGATTTGAAGAGAAGGATTCAAAATTCATTACACGATATCCAAGGATGATTGAAAATTCTCTCAGACATGTTGATAATAAAAGAATGAAGAAGCGTGAAGAATACGTTGAAAGAAAAAAAAAAATGAAGAAAGAGCAGAAAAGAGAAGATCTAAAACATTTGAAAGATTTAAAGAGAAAACAACTTAAAGAAAAAATTTTAAAGTTGAAAGAAGTGCCTGGTCAAAATGAATTGAACCTTAACGAAGATGATACTGAAAGTGATTTTCATCCTGAAAAACTTGACGAGAAAACGAAAGAGTATTTTAATGATGATTATTATGCTATTCAAGAAGAAGAATGTTCAAAATTTTCATATGATGAGGAACTCGATACGGAAGATTGGTACCATTGGATTCGATCAAGTAAAAGTGATGAGTGTGGTGAAGAACAACTTGAAGAAAGTGCTTCTGAAACATCAGGTGTTGAGATTACAAATTCCAAAATTTATTCTAAATCGCAGGTTAAGAAAGAAATGATTGAGTCAACTCACACAGGAATGATAAAGGTTAGAAAGAAATCCTTATTTGATAATATAATTCCTAAACTTAAACCAGTTATGGATCCAGATGGCAAAACTTTTGATGACTATTTGGATGAGTGTAATCATTTAGATTATGAAGTGGTCGAACTATAAAGGTGCCTTCTATATTCAAGGACTTTAAAATAGACTATTAAGTGAACTTTAAAATGGACTTTTAGATTAAATTTTGGTTTAATTAAATAATTGTTTTGATAAAAATTCTGTTATCAAAAGGTGGGAGTATGTAAAGTATAGCATTGTTCATATATATTCAACCAGTGTAATATTATTTTCCCTTTAGCTTTGCTTTGAGTGGCGACAGTTGTAAAACGTTGTTATTTTGGTAGAATAAACTTGTTTGGTTGTGTTTTAATTCTTACAGAGATTATTTTGGTGGAAATGAGTTGATGAATGGACAAAATGGTGTACATTTACTGTCGTATCTAACAATAATGCAGGAATCTAACCAGAGCTTAAATTGCGCAGGAGCCCACCGGAGCCCAGCTCCGGTACTTCTCAGTTTTCGAGATAAATTGTAACTTCAGCCAGAGAGCACCGGAGCCCTAAATAAAGGGGCGCCAGCACTTCTTTTATGTAAGTAAACCAAAATTTTAGCCGATAAATTTTGTTTTTATAGTAAAACATGCCTTGAAAATCAGTTCTAACTTCTGAATGTAGGCCTGTCTTTCCCTCCCATTCAAGCCTTGCACACAGGTTGAGACTGCTGTCACTTGTACAGAGAATTCTTATGTTTATTCTCACGTTGTACTCAGAAAAAATTATTCAGGAAACGCATTCAGGGAAAATTTCTACTTGACGGCTAGAATTATATCGACAGAGCATCGCGATCACAAAGTCTTGAATTCTTCCCTCTTCATTTTCAAAGCTACATCTTCATACTGTTTCTAGAATTCTCACCTTTTCTTTAATCGTTTTACCTTTTTTACTTAGTGTGCTGCAAAAAAAGAGTGGTACCTGTCATTCTTTGGAATAGTACATTAAGCGCATAATCAGGGCTTAAATTCAGACGGAGATCGGCTGAGCTGTTGCTTAGTTTCTAAGTGGAATTGTAATTCTAGCCGATGCGTCAAATAAAACAAGGTTCGATACTTTTTTTCTATTTAACTATTTAAAATTAATTTAATAATTTGTTAGATTTCTGTTTATCTTTTTTACCTTTTAATTTAAATTAATTATTTATTTATTTAATTGATTTAATTAATTAATTTTTAAATTAAATTAATATTAATTAAAATTTTTATTTAATTATTTTAATTTAGCTATTTTATTTTTTTTTCTTTCCTCCTTCACAGTGTTTCATAGGGCTCCGGCACTTATAATTTTAGAAATTAAGCGCTGACTCTAACATTTGGTAGCAACAATTTGAAAAATGAAACGGACATTTATAGTGAACCAACATCGCAAAACAATAGTCGAAAACAATAGTCCTTCAGGGACAAAGCCTCTTTGGGCTAAAAAAATATATATGTTTAATAAATTTTAAATTTGGCTTACTAAATATTTATCAAAGCAAACAAAAACAACAATACAAACATCACAAAAGAAAAAAAGTTCAGATAATATTTATTTTCTATTTGAAATCTGAAGTTTGGTATCTGTAAGACATTTTTGTTGGTTACATTTTGTAATTCAAATATACTGACAACTAAATATTAAATTTTAGGCTAGCATTTACTTTTATTAATCATCACAGAAGTTACCTTATAATTTAAAATAAAAATAAACAAATTTTGAAAATTTTCCAAATTGGGAAAATCTTGAGAATAAAAAATGACAGCCTAGTCTCTTTCTCTTATTTATGACATGATTTCCTATTAAGCTAGACACTTGATGACGTTTCGATGCTGATCAAGTTTGTAATCTTGGAAAGAAATTACTAGAAATTATCTTCATCGCGGATTGTAGATGCTCATCGGTTAATCGGGTTCTTTTCTTACAAATTTTCAATTATATACGTGCGTGTGGGGGGAAGACTTTCTAAGAGAAAAACTAGCTCGTATCGACGGTAAACATAGGGAAAACCACGAAAACGCCCATGCAGCCAGCCTTTCACCTGGATTGGATTATTGGATCATTCATTTATGGCAAAGCACACGAGGGCTATCTGCCTAAAAGGAGGGATGTCTTCGTGGAGGACTAAGGGAAACTGGCTCGTATACACGTTACACATGCGGAAAACCACGAAAACGCCCATGCAGCCTGCCCGTTCGCGGGATTCGAACTTTGGACCGAACTACCAGTGTTCAGCGTCTTTACCGCTCGACCGCTGGTAGGCCCCTCCCGTTCACCTGGGATTGATTGGTTTGGCTTTATTTTATTTTATTTATTTTATTTTATTTTATTTTATTTTATTTTATTTTATTTTATTTTATTTTATTTTATTTTATTTTATTGATTATTGTGAAACAGGTAAGAAATGTCTGCTTAAGAGGAGGAATGCCTTCGGAAAGGAACTTTTAAGGGAAACTGGCCACAAAACATTTTGTAGAAAACCACGAAAACGCCCAGGCGCAATTGAACCGAAGTCGAACTACCAGAGTTTTCCGATTTTACCGCTCGGCCGCTGGGGGGGGGGTCATGTAATGGTTTGGTTTGATTTATATGATTACGACAAAGCCTCGAGGACTATCTGCCTAAGGGAAGGAATGCCTTCGTGGGGAACCTTTAGAAGTATAATGACGTAGTGGTTAGTTGACAATCATTTATAAAATAAAGAAATAAATTTCATTTAATTTTATTCGAAATATTATAATTTATATTTATTCGAAATATTAATATAAAGATATGATATCCATTTTGTTTTAATCACAGCTTTCAATCTTCTGGCAGCTATAAGAATAATTAAGATCCTTTACGAATTCACCCTTTACCCAAACTTAACTCTCTTTCCCACAGGGAATCTTTTCAGATAATTTTGGATTTTTCAAGCTCTTAAACACAAAATTCTGCAAGTGTTAAGTGTGGTTGAAATACCAAACTTTCGGAAAGACAATGTAGATTTGGAAGTATTTCAGGTGTTCTTTCGGCCAAGTTTATTAAATAATAATTTTCAGAGATAAAACTAAGCTTCAAGTCATTATCTTGCTATTAATAAAATCTTTTATTAATGAGATAAAGCCCACTTGCTACACAAAGTACAAAAGATGTTGCTGCCTAACCGATATAGTGGCATGGCAAGAACAGCTGGCAAGAAATGTCTGCCTAAGAGGAGGAATGTAGATTAAAAATTAATAATTATTCTTGTAGCTTAATTATTCTTGTAGCTGCCAGAAGATTTATACCGATTGGATGTTGTCGCCCAATCGGTATAGTATTATTACAAAAGATGTTGCTGCCTAACCGATATAGTGGTTAGGGTCGCTGACTGCCGTGCCGACGGGCCTGGGTTCGAATCCCGGAGAAGGCATGGATGTTTTTAAATGTTATACTGTCTGTGTGGCATGGGGGTCTGTGCGGTCTAAATATGCGGCTAGCCGAAAATTCTCTCGACTCTAGAGGTGATGATATGGGAAAGAAGAGTGGGAGACTCTTGGATTCGTCCCCCCGGGGTACTATCCGTCAAAATTGGGGGGGGGGCGGAACTAAGCTAAATCCTGCTGTCACCTGTAGGGTTTTCACCTGTTGTCAACGCTGTCACCTCTTGCCAATGACAGGCGTAAATTTGCGCTCCTTGCCTCTAGGATTTTCGTGGGCTTGGGCTGACTATAGGTCAGACAAGTGAACATTAGCAACAATAACAACGCCACATAAAATTTGATTCAATTGACAAAATCACAAATATTTAAAATCAGCATATGTTTAGAAAATCTGGTAAACAGCCTCGCACTTTAAAGAGAAAAATGTTTCATTCCGTATGGTGTTCCCACTGCTCGCTTTGAAATCGTTGAGTCTGTTAATCAAAAATTCGTTAAAGTTATACAAAATATGAAATAAATAATAAAACAAATTCGAAATTCGAGCTTCCAGGTGGCTGTATTCGGGTGGAGAACTACGTTATTCAAAATTTTATGTCTCTAGGTACCGTTGTTTTTTTCACAATGCGAGAAACATTCATGCAGATTATTCATTATTTAATTTCTTTAAATATAATACAGGGCGATAATATTGGGGCAATAATTTGAAAAGCGATTCAACGCATTTAACTGTTTCGACGCAAACTTCCATTTCAAAACTAATACCTCATTCGGAAATAACGTGCCTTTTGGGCTAATAATTTCCTTCTATTACGTCTCTATAACGCAATGACTTACGTACTGATCGCTTGGGGTTAGTTGCTTTATGAGTTTGTCTTCGTCATCTTCATTATCGTCGTCGTCGTCCTTGTCATCGTCACCATTTGCTTCTGCATTTCTCGATGATATTACTTGATTAGTACTTCTGTCTCAACCATTGCACCACGATACTTAGGTTGAGTTTTGGTTTATTCCCCTATAAATTTTGAATTTCTTCTAACTACTACTATTCCTCTTCGTTCAAATGATAGAGATTCCAATTTCTTCTTCTTAGAACAAACTTTCGGTTTTTTTTTTCTTCTTGTCCTTTAGCAATTTTGTTTGTAGCTTCGTTTTTCAGTTTTTCCGGTTCCTTCCAAACTTTTGCTTCTTCATCAGCAAGTATCCTGAAAATCGTGGTATTTTTCGATAAAGCACTCTCAAATGGTGTTTTCCAAATAGTTTTATTCATCGTGTTATTCAAGTTTCACTCAACTTATTTAGTTCTTTTGTTCCAATCCTTTTGATCTTTACTTTCCATTGACGTTGCTATCGTTGTTAAACTTGTTCTGTTCGATCTCGCGACCATACCATTTCTTTGTGTGTGAGAATTTGAATTTAATGTATGAAGAATTCCATTTTCATTGCAAAAGTTTGAAATTCATTTGAAGTAAAACAATAACCTCAATCAGATATTATACGATCTGGTAATCCAAACTCTTGTATGAAACTCAGCAATGATTTCAGTACGTACTTCGAAGATGTGTTTCTCATAGCATACAATCTAACAAATCTGGTCATATTATCAATGATGACTAATAATTATCCTTGTTTCTTTTAGAACTTGTGATCAAAGGTCCAAGACGATCAATGTGTGTTGCAAAAGGTGTGCGGCCCTGTCTCTTTCCACTTGGGACTTTGTTGATGAGGCCTTCGAAACACACTGATACATGTCGACTAACATATCTCTTCATATCAGGATACCAGTACTCTTCTTTGATTTTGGATACTGTCCTATCAACAGCAAAATGTCCCAAAAGGTTATGAAAACTTCACAACTATGCTTTTTCTCATGCTTAACGTATAGTAACTTCTTTTCTACAGTCTATTCTTTTTAAATATAATTCTGCACCGTTTGATTTTCTTCTTTGGTTCTTTCATTTTGGTCTTCTTTAAGATCGTTATTAATTCTCTTAAATTTTCATCTGCATGCTGTATCATAAGAATCTGTTCATCTAAATTTAAGATCAGACGAACTTTTAAATTATCATCTATTAAAGAATCTATAGTGTCTGATGAATTAATAACAGGGGCTCTTTTGATTGCATCGATATGAGAGATTTTAATCCCTGCTTTGTGGATTATTTCAAAATTATATTCTTGAATAAGGATATTCCAAATAGTAACTAGGAATTGCTAGATTTCTTTACATTCATGTAAACCAATCTTTGACAGTCGGTAGCTATTGAAAATTCAATACAGAGTACAGAGTAAGAATCTTCGAAGTCTATCTAGTCCAGACAATTGACATTAGTTCAAGTTTACTCGAGTGATAATTCTTTTCAGCTTCTGTTGTCTTTTTACTCACGCAATAGACAAGATGCCATTTGCCGTCACTTCCGAGCGGAAGGAACATGCAAGAAATACCCTCTGAACATGCATCAATATGAATTTCTGCTTGAGCTTAAGGTTGTACAAAGCTAAAATTAGTTGATTTATCAGTTCAGTTTTTAGCATTGTAAAAGAATTTCGCTGACTTCCTTCTCATCTGAACATTTGATTTTTCTTAGTTAATTGAGCCATTGGTCCAGCTTTAATGATTATATTTGAAATAAATCTTCTAAAGAAACTTGTTAAACCAAGACATCA